TCGCATGCTGCGGAGAGGGGTCGGAAAGCTGTGGAGGCCTTAACTGGCACTTCATTTCAGATGTCACGTGCCTATGATGGCACGGCAATCACTGCACGAGTCAATGTGACCTTGGAGGGTGTCCCCGGGAGCGGCTATGAGGCAAGGCGCCTTGGGTGCTTGAAGAGGGGAGAGATCGGGCCGTCCGCTTCGTCGAGGGCGGTGGACCTGAATGAGGAGGCTTGGAGGGTCTCGCTGGAGAGTGAGCGGTTAAGTCCGCCGGAAGCTGATGATCTGCCCATTTGGATGGGCGTTGAGACGCCAGTTGTGAGGCCTCCTGGCCTAGGCCACGACAGCGAAGACTCGCGGTCGGTTGGAAGCTTTGAACTTTTGGGTGACGCTGCAGAAGAAAAAACCTGCAGTGGATCCCCATGAAGCCATGTATGCTGGCACCTTTGACCAGCATAGGGGGAGTGTGAGTGGAAAAGCACACGACCCGAAGCATACCTTTTTTCGTGAAGGTCATGAACACCTGAAAAGGTGAACCACCGGTCAAAACGACCTGCGTTTGGCTCAAGAACAACGTGAGCGGCTGTTTTTGTCGGTCGCTCTTGAGGCTTTTTCCATAACCACAAAAACAATGCGATACTACAAACTTAAAGTAGCCAGTGAATACATATGAACATGCATGAGCGCAATAAATCGTTCAACAAACCGTGCAAAATTCTGACTGCACCATATTGCACCCAACCAGCATATTCCACCCATGTGTCATTTTTGAGCGCCAAGAAAGTTCTGGATGTGCAACCAGCATGAATCCATAATTTTCACATAATTTTTTCTGAATCGGTGAACTACCCCCCGTTAAAACTGGCTAGCCATTAAACACCCTCCTTTACGGGGTGGTGATGTTTGTACTTTTTTGCTAAGATTTGAGGGGCTGCATGTTTCAATCTCCTAGTGGGCCTGAGAAGGAGCGACCACCGAACCGAACTGTTCATTCAGTGATGACAGTGCTTTGATCCAGCTGCTCGGACGGTTTAATTGGTTTTTGGCTGTTTGCTAAGGGGGTGTGTGCAGTGGCAAGGCCTTCTTTCGTTTCCACCTTCAATTTGGTCCGATCCCAGGTATCGCTCACGTCCCAATGCGATCGGAAACGGAGTTGCGAGCGCTTGGGTGGCCGGCCCCTTTGGGGACTGCACGCGTGCTTGTCCTGAGCAAAAGCACCTCGGAAATGATTCGAAAGGTCACAAGGAGGTGTTGTTGGCAGTTTGAGTCAAGACTGGCTGATCTCAGAGGTTAGAGTCCAACTACATCCAAATGCTTTCCAGATACCTCCAACGTGAACCACCCCCCGATCCCCGTGTGTCTCAAGGCGTTTCAGTGGTCCGGATCCTGCGTACCAGAAGAGAGCGGTGCGGTGCATGTCCTTGGATGACCAGCCGCTGTCCGAGGGGCACTGTGCACAGTTGGTCAAGCCGAAGAGGTTCAGGAGGGCAGTGCGAGTCTCTTGAGGGTTCGCACAGTTTGAAACCCACACGGAGGAAATTTGCACGCATTTCCTCAAACCGAGGTGAGGTTGAGAAGCCTCAGGTCTCATGTTTGTTGCGTACAATGAACATGTACCAATTTTTTTATTTGCTGGCATTGGCAAATAAGGGATGAGAGTTGGAGAGTCAGAGCCAGGGAAGCCTGCCAAAGAGCTTTGAATTGTATATTTTGGGGTGCTCTTTGTCAAAGAAATGTGTTCGTCTGAAGGCCAAATGGCCTATACATCTTGGGTCTTCTATCCAACATGTCTTAGGTACTCGTAATTTAGGTTGCATGTGCAGTTACACAAAAGAACAATGCATCATAATTTAGCATAATTACTATGTATCAGATATTTATGTCCAGCAGGCAGACGGACCCTCAGACATGGACGATATCAACAGACAGCTGGCAACCAGCGGGCGGCAGGATGTGCCATTGTGGAGTTCTATTCTGCAAGCCTGATTGCATACCTGACCCTGATTTGGACAACGATCCGGAACCAGGTAAAAAACTCAGCACAAATCTGGTCTTGAGGCTGAAACAAAACTGGGGGATTCAAAACCCAGAAGACTTCAGCATAAACAGACAGTTTCTACAGACCTTGCAATATTCAAGTTCTTGATGAGTCCCGCAGCTTGCGCTGCATTTGCATCTGAGATAGCAACACAGAAATTGGAGAAGAGCGCGACAGCAGCTTCGAGTGCGTTGGCTGCTTCGCGCTAGGCAGGCATCAGACTTGTTTAGACAATTTTAGACAAGTTTTTGATAGTGTTTGGTTGGACAGCTGAAGCCAGCATCTTGAGGTCGAGTCTAGCTGTGACAATTCTCGGAGGATATAAGGCATTTGCATGTATACGTGCAAGCACGCTTGCGGGAATTCTGTTGGGTGAGTATCCCAGATAAATAGCAGCCACAATGTACTCCATGACTCCAGAACATCGGAGAGTCTAATGTATTTTTTTTGATGGGCATTGAGATTCACACCCAGTCTGATCTCAAATCTTCACCCTCATCTCACATCCGTGGTTCGACAACGAGTCAAAACCTCTCGAGTTTCTTGAGGGTATAATATTAAGGAGCTACTAGGAACAAGGAGCCACTAGGGGCTCCTGGCATCGCTACTAGGAGCAAGGACGCTACTAGGACCTCCCAATGCTTCTTTTTAAACCTCTCGAGTTTCTTGAGGGTATAATATTAAGGAGGTTATTTCCGAATACGTAGCGAAAGGCTCGGCTCGAGCGAGGACTTTAGCGCGGGCGAGGTTGATCCGGCTGGAGGCTGGATCCCTTGCCTTGGATGAGTGGTCGTTTTGGCGTGGTGCGCCTGGTCTTTTTGCTCGGCCTCCTCTTCGGTGCGGAGGCGGCAGCGGCGCTTGAGGGCGGTGGCCCGCCTGCGCCTGTGGCAGGAGCGACACCTTGGAAGGTGGTCGGGCCGTTTGCGCCGCCTGAGACTCCTGCCCCGTTTGCGCTTCAGCAAAAGCGGGACTCCACCAACCGCAATTGGGCCAAGTTCAAAATGGACACGCAGGCCTATCTGGAAAAGAAGTACGCCACCACACAGGACCATTGAAGGCCACTACGGCCGATCTTGCTGCCCTTCAGATTCAGGTCAACCAGCTCAAGCTTCAGATCCAGAATCATCAACTGGCCAACATGGGTGCTCTTCCTAAGAACAGACTGGCATGGAGTTGGAGACCATGACGCCAGCCAACCTGCCCGACAACATCAACCTCTCTTCGTCAGATGCAGAAAGCAAGGGGAAGGAAGCTGTCTCAGGAGGCCGAGATCATCGATCACGATCGCCGCCTCATGGTACTGTGCGCTCCTCTCCGCTCAAGAAGCCCAAGACGCATTCACCCAGCAAGACATTGCAGCCTTTTGGCGGTGGCCGGGAGACTTAGCTGTTTTTTCAGATGAGCAACCTGGCGTGGTTCGCCGTGTACGAATTCATGACGCTGCTGTTCGTTTTACATCGAGTACTACATGGATGTTTTTTGATCCACTTTCTCACGGGGAGTGGGTGGAGAGTGGAGAGCACGCTGGACACTGGCCTTCCGGACTTTATCAAGAACACCTCCGACAAGTTGATAAGCTTGACCTCGCCGCACAGTGACTTGGTTTTGAACCTGACACATGGCCCCCAGAAGATGGCCGAACATATTGTCAAGAGGTCCCAAGCCCACAATCTCTCATGTGCACCAAAGATGAAACCCCAGACATTTGCACGAGAGATGTTTTTGTTTTCACCTTTTCCTGCCATGGCTCCTGGGCTGCCTGATGATGTGGTTTCTCAAGAGCTCGAGGCCCCGAACCTCATGGTTTTCGATGCTGACCTCCAAGCCATTGGCAATTGGGAGCAAAATCTTTTGGTTCCATTTATGAACCCACAACGCCTGAGCACCCTCTCATTGACTGATGTTCAGGCTCAAGGAGATGATGACTCATTCCGTCTGCTACAATCAATTTGCTGTAGTTGATGATGTGCATCAACCGCCACGCAGGGACACCAAGGTTTCTTGCCTGACTGCGAATGCAATTCGAGCTGCAACGCTTGAGCTGTGGAAGGACTACCACCACAAGCAGTGGTGACTTCTCAGCCGCAAGCCTTACGCTTGCAGGGCTCGGTCTTTGTCCTTGACATCCACGAGCCTGGTATCTCACGCCGTGGAGGGGCCACTGTTCTTGTGACCCGTACCAACAGGCTCCGACAGATTCAGGCTCAACGGCTCCCCACGCCTCAGGCTCCCTGATCCTGCGCGAGCTGCTGTATTGATTGCAGGAAAACCTGCCATCCTTTATCAGTTTCAGGAGCTTTATTCTGGCGATCTTCTTTGTGCCTTGATGGAACCAGCGCCCAGTGAGCTCACGGCTGGGCTCTTTGATTTGCAGCCTGACCTTCCTCTGACCCATGGAGCATTCAACTGCAGGCGGATGGTGCTTATGAGCTCTCCCTGTTTCTATTCTTTGGACCACCTCGTGATCAGTGCTTGGTGCGGGTGCGTCAGCATGAGCGCACAGGCATCACAGCTGGTTCTGAAGATTGAACTACATTGGATCAAGCGCGGCGCTTTGCCCTTTTTGGTAATGCTGACATGGACCCAGACTACATTTTGCAGCTCACCATGGGTCAAATCATTGAAGTGGAGCTTTTTGATCCGCTTGAATCATCCTCTTCCTCTGGAGCTACTTCAGCTGATGTAGATAGCACTGCAGACTTCGTAGAGGATACGACCACCTTGCTCCAGCTCAAAGCTGACTTGCAATCGATTCACCGATGGCTTGATAGGAGTGAGGATCTCCTCCTTACTCGCCCATGTGTATTTTCAGGGCCCCAGAAGATGCCCAAGAGAGCTGTTGCTCATCAAAGAAATCATCAAGATGTGGGAGGGAACAATGAACCCCCACCTTCACGCCCCAGGGCCGAATTTAGCCCCGCCCCCGCAGCCATGGCCTTGTGCCTTCATGACCTACTTCCTGGGCCAGCAGGTCGATTCACGGCCATTGACGTGGAGGAGATCTTTAGTGGACTTTCACGCTGGCAGCAACAAGAACAACAACTTACTCCTCTACCGTGGATGTTGCCCATTTCCTGGCACTTCAACACCACCCTGGCCTTTCAGAGCACAGCGCGATGGGATTGGAGCTACGGCATTCCAGACCACTACAACTTCTACACGGATGGTGCCAGGCAAAGAGCAGGGAGCCGCCTGATTTGGGGTGTGCAGTTGTCCTACTTTGTGAGCTGGAGGCACAGCTCTACTATGTGGATGCATGGGCTGCTTTCTTGCCATCCCCTTCTACTTCAGTCAAAGCGGAAATCAGTGCCCTGATTATGGCCATTGTGATTGCCAGCTCCTTGCCTCGCTGGCCCACACGCACGGTTTTACATTTCTGCTTTGATGCTCATATTGCGGGATATACAGCTGCCGGTGTGTGGTCACCATCTCATCATCTCCATCAACAAGGGCTGATCCGATCATTCATTCATTGGCTGGAGCATCATTTCTATCGCATCCAATGGGACCATGTACCAGCTCATACTGTTGAGCCCTGGAATGAAGCAGCTGACACTTTGGCTTATGAAGCTGCCCACCGTTTGATCGAGGTTGTAGATATCACTCCCTGGCTTCACGCTTTGGATGGGGACGCAGCTGCCATTGAATGGTATTGGTTCCTTTGTCAACCACGTCTTCCTGGACAACTTCCTTGGCTACAGGGTAAATACCACTCGTTGTTGCCCCTGCCGCAATTGATGGACCCATGTGCTGATCACCATCCCATTGCGCAGCATCAGCCTCCGAAAGACACTCCTGCGCTTGAGAATCTTGAGGTCCTTTTTGGCACGGCCAATGTCCTCACATTTTTCCAAAAGGAAATGGGGAAGGGACGACTGGAGCATTCTGTTCAGCTCGAATGGAGGATCTCCTTTTGCAGTTCTATGAGTCGCACTATGTGTTGGTCGGCCCTCAGGAAACTCGCTCCAAGCTTGAGGGTTATTTGAAGACCGACTATTTCCATGTGGTATTCTCTCCTGCCACATCCAAGGGAACAGGAGGCACACAGTTGCGGATTGCTCCGTCATGGGGATCTGTTCAAATTGAGCGAAGGCACATCAAATTTCTGTTCTCTGCGCCAGAGTGCCTCATTGCGAAGCTGCAGGTTGGCCGTTTGGCCTTGGTGATCATCGTAGCTCACGCACCACCTTCAGCTCAGGTGGCACAATGTCAACAGTTTTGGGACACGCTGCCCAGGCGCATTCCTAGCAGTTGCCACAGTATGCCATGGGTGGGGCTTTTTGATGCGAACTCCCGTCTTGGCTCCCTAAGCTCCATGAGTGTTGGATCCCATGCGGCCGAAACTGAAACTGATGCGGCAGCGCATTTCCATGAGTTCTTACAGACTCATCAGATGTTTCTGCCTTCCACATTTGATGCTTGGCACTCTGGATCTTCTACTACATGGACGCACAGTGGTGGATCTGTTGCGCGGTTGGACTATGTTGCCTTGCCGTGTGCTTGGAAGGGTGCCACTAACCTGCCGTCTTGCCACTAACCTGGCTTCACTAACCTGACAATTTCCCGACCAGATCATCAAGTGGCAGCTGCGCAACTTCTACTGCCAGCTCACCGAGAAGCATTTCCAGGCCACCGTGCGCCCGCACTACCAGCCACGCAGGAGGTGCGAGACTACTACACATGGACTGCCTTGCAAGGCCCAGATCAAGTTCCCCGTGCTCCTTTGGCGGTGTGGGAGACTGATGTGCATTCCCATGCTATGGCTTTTGATGCGCGCCTTCGCAAGCTTCAGTCTACCTTTCGAGCTCAACGGGCTGTTCTTCGGAAACAACACCTGAGTGATGCCACCAAGGCCCTCATCGTAGCCAAAAAATCTACATGGCTTCAGCTTCACCGCACGCAGCACTCCTATCAGCTTGCTACGTTGCGAGAATGCTTCAACAATTGGAGCCAGGGTCATGGACACTGCACTCCCCATGAGCTCTTCTCCTGGCAACGCCAGTGTCATCTTCGCGCTGCCCTTCTACATGCCCGACACCGATGGCTTTGTCGACAAGTTGTCCCTGCTGTTCGCGCTGATGACAAGGCCTACTGTATGAGATGCTAGCGGCCCAGGCTGGGGATGCTGATGGAGCTGGGTGTCCCAAGGACTTGTGGAAGGCCATCAGGGCCACCTTGAGGACACTGCCCTTCAAGATCACTTTGATCT